TGCACTAGAATCTGAACTACTGGTGTCTCAGTGATTTGAAAGAGGAGATGTAGGTAGCTGCCAGTAGAAATTACTTCCTCATCACACAGTTAATGCCCCTGAAAGCTGCCCCTCTCTTCACCCCTGCCAATTACCCATTTATGATGCAGTCTTTTGGGATGTAGTTCTTGACTTGGGTCAGCCTGGGGAAGGAGAGATTAGTTACCTTGAATGGACCTCCTAGAAAGAACAAGGGAAATGGGCAATTGTAAAACTCATCAGGAAATTCAAGTCTTCTCTTGGTAGGACATGCTTGTATTTTCAACACCTGAACTAAACTGTGGATGGCCTAGTTTATAGCTTCTAATATTACATTTCAACACTTAACCTCATGTGAGGCACTTTTCTAAAAACTTGATAGGAATGACTCTCAACCTTTGTGATCACACTCCTGGAAAAGTATCCTATCTATTGTAATAAAAGAGTAATATGCAAATTGACCATCACACCAAGACACAAAATGGCCACCTCCATGTAGTCAAAGATAGCTGCCATAAGATGGCCTCCACAAATGGCCTGCAGGGGAAGGCAGTTGTGGGAAGTTAGGGGTGACAAGGCCAGCAGAGAAGGGCAGTTGGGGGGCGGGAAGAAGGGGAGACAAGGCCTGAAAGGGAGGACAGTTGGAAGCCAGCAGTCCTGGATTGTGAGAGGAATGTCAGACCACCACACTGGGATTGGGCCTACATGGTGGTTGGACATCCCTCAAGGAGTCCCAGATTGGAGAGGGTTCAAGCTGGGCTGAACACTTCCCTCAATGCATGAATTTTGTGAACCAAGCTTCTAGTTATCTTACAAGTGAGGAATTGGAGGAGGAGAGAAAAAAAATCAATAGACTTTCCCAAGATCATACATCTAACTTAAAACTAATCCAGGACTCAATCCAGGAAGTCTTGCTGTGGAATGCAAGCTTTTAATAGATAATTTACAATGCCTTTGCAAGCTTTCAAGTGCTTTGCAAATCTGTCCCCTAGACTCTGTATTCAGGTTGATGGGTCTGATGCAGTGGCTTTCTAACAGTTGAGAGCTATGTGGAAACTGTCTTCTTGGCAGTGTTTGACATCAGTGACCCAGCAATTGGCACACAGTGTTCACTAACAAATATTTGCTAAATTGTACTGACTTGCTCTGCTTCTGGAGACCTCAGTCACCTTGGCTTCTTTCTCACGCTATACTCTCTTCCTGCCTCTCTGGACTCTCCTTTTCAATCTTTTTTGCTTCTGCCTGTCCATTATATGAAAGGAGTCTTCATTATTCCCTATTAGACCCATTTTCTTCCAGGATCCTCCCTCCCTGGTACTCACAGCTATTTCAATTATTGATTATATGCTGGTGTCTCACAAATACCTATTTGCATCCCAGTTTCACAGTTAAGATTCAAACTCACATGGTCAGACTTCTGCTGGAATTTAATATGTATTCAAAATAAATCTGTCCAAATTTTAATTTGTTTTCATGTCACTGGCCACTTCAAAACTGCTTCTTCTTTAATTTCTCAGTTAATATTAGCATGAACCAAAAAGCTGCCCAAGACAGGAATCTTGGACTTATTTTGCCTTCTCTCTCTTCTTTACTTCCTATATCCAATCATTCACATGCTCTGTTGAGCCTTCACTGTATAGGTAAGTTCAGGCTACCGACTGACTTACCCTTGCAGGTGTCTTCAAACTACGGCCCGCGGGCCACATGCGGCCTGCAGAGGAGTCTGATCCGGCCCGCCAGGTTTTTTGGGCAGTGAGCGCAGCTGAGGTGTTACAGTAGGAATTAGTAGTTCATATAGTCCGGCCCTCCAGCTCTCTGAGGGACCGTGATCTGGCCCCCACTTTAAAAAGTTTGAGGACGCCTGGGTTAGAGCATCTTGTAAGTTCTAGCTGAAAGTCAATTCTTCCATGGGCCTTTGGAATACAGATTCTTCTTAAAGTTCCATCATTACCTCTTTTTTAAAATTATTATTATTATTATTTATTTACAGGAGAGAGAGAGAGAGAGAGAGAGAGAGAGAGAGAGAGAGAGAGAGAGAGAGTAAAATCACATTGATGTGAGAGAGAAATATTAATTGATTGCCTCTTGCACTCATCCTGAGCAGGGATCAAAACCCAAATCCTAGGTATATGCCCCAACAGGGAATTAAACTGGACAACCCTCAACCAACTAAGCCACACCTGCCAGGGCTCCATCTGCATCTCCTAACTGTGTACAAAGTGCCTTCAACATATTCAACTGGCTTCAGTCCTCTCCTATCTTTTCTATTCACACTGCATGAAATATTCTTCTCCTTACTTCTCCTCTTTCTTCCCCTAACTCCCAGATTGTCTTAACTAATTTCTGTCATCCTGCAGGCTAGTGACTATGTAACTACTTTTAGAACTTCTTCCTGAGTTTCCACTTCTGTTATGTTTCCCTCTTTGGAATCCCATGGTATACCACATTTTCTCTATGGCAAATAGCGCTATCACCTTGAACTGTAATAGGATTTTACTGTTTGCAAGAATTTGCAGTAACAACAAATTCCAAACTTTTCTTTTGTTCATTTATGCTTGATATAGTACTAGAGGCTTGGTGCACAAAATTTGTGCATGGGGGTGGGGGTGGTGTTCCTCAACCCGGCCTGAACCCTCTCTAATCTGGAACCCCTCGAGGGATGTCTGACTGCCCGTTTAGATATGATCCCAGTAGGATCGGGCCTAAATGGGCAGTCAGACATCCCTCTCATAATCCAGGACTTCTGGCTCCCAACTACTCACCTGCCTGCCTTCCTGATTGCCCCTAACTGTTCTGCCTGCCAACCTGATTGATGCCTAACTGCTTTCCTGCTGGCCTAATTTTCCCCAACTGCCCTTCCTTGCCAGCCAGGTCACCCCTATCTGCCCTCTCCTGCTGGCCTGGTCCCCCCAAATATCCTCCCTTTAGGCCTAGTTGGCCCTAACTGCCCTCCACTGCAGGCCTGATTGTCCCTAACTATCCTCCCCTGCAGGCCTGCTCACCCACAACTGCCCTCCCCTGCCAGCCATCTTGTGGTGGCCATCTTGTGTCTACATGGGGCAGCCATCTTATGTGTTGGAGTGATGGTCAATTTGCATATTACCTCTTTATTATATAGGATAAGTCCTTTTATCATTAAGAGCCAATGAAAGGCTAAGCCAGTGGCTGGGTGCTCTGTCCCATAGTCATTCAAGAACTAAAGCTGCCAGCAGCTCTGTCACCTTTAAGTTATGCCTTCTATAATAAGTCTCCCTTCACTGTAAGAGCTGAATAGTACATGAGGAAAGCTCATGGAGGATCATGCATAGGAGGCTTTATTGGTCAGGCCTTAAAATAGTAATCATCACTCACAATCCATTGGCTCAGACTCAATACAAGACCACACTTAAACACACAGGAGAGTAGGAATTCTACTCACTATATCTGAGCCAAAAAGAAGAGGACTGGCTTTGGTGATCAGCCAGTGGTCTCCCACACTGACCTTTATTCTCACTAAACTGTGTTCCATGAGGGCAGAGGCAAGTTTCTCTTTATTTTATCCCCTATTCTATGCACTCAAATAAGTAATTGTTGCAGAAATAAAGTTATTTATATCTGGTCTTTAAAACATTTTTTCTGCCTATTCTCAGGCTGGCTTCCTATTTTAGTTGCTCATACAGCATGATATGAGGCAGTTTCTAACACACCTAGGGTGTAGTATATCTTTGATGTTCATTGGTGGGCTACACTGCAAAAACGATTGTGGTTGATCATGTCTATAGCTGAACTCCTTATAGATGCATAAACCCCAATGCCAATTTATTTATTTATCCTACATATATTTTTCAGAGATTTGATTACTCATGCTTTCTATCTGAGGCATACTCTTTCTCAGAACTGAGGTACTTGGGAAACAGTGGTGCCACTCACTGTCATTTAAAGCTAGAGTGGTCATGAGCATGCTGACTATCAGAATGTACCAGTAAGGATCTTTTTTGAGAATAGTGACAACATTATACAATATTCTTGGTATTAAACCTGGGATAAATTTATTTTTAATTACCATAAAAGGAATAGTTGTGTTTTTCTTAAAAATTGACTGTTTCTGACCTTATAATGTCCATTGATGGCATGACATATACTTTATTTCTTAGCATTGTTACTAGAAAGTTCTGACCAAATGGGGGGCACACAGCTACCAAAAATACATGACATCAATAAGTGCATTTTTATACTATCTCCACTCAAATTTCAATGGGACTCAACAAACCTTTCCTAACTATATTTTCCTTACTCTTATTTTTCCTTTTCACTTCTGGTATCTTCTTGCATTGCATATCTATGTAAGCCACCTAAATAATGTTTTAGAATAGAGGAAAATACACATAAATAAAATATACTGAAAATTTGTCTTTCCAAGAAACATAAAATGTTTTCAATGAGTGTGGCTAGGCATTTTTCTTCTTTAATCTAATTTGCTTCATCTGAAGAGATATATTCAAATGAATATGAACTAGTCTTTCATTTTAGGGGGAGAAAAGGGAGAAGGAGAATGGGAAATGATGGATTATAAGAAGATAGAAATTAGTGTAAATGCAAAACCCTGTTTTCTATGTTAAAACATTATACACAGTTGTGAAGATTCACTGTAAGTTCCATGAGGGTGAGAGCCTTGTCTTTATTGTTATTTCCATATAGAATAGAGTCTGGCAGACAGTTGATATTAAATATATTTTGGGAGTATGAATGTAATGCACTTGGCATTAGTTAGGAGACTGGTATCAAATAAATGATGTTGAATATTCGGTATGTAACCATAGGCATGTACCTTTTGGACTCAATTTTATTATTTATAAAATGAAGTAAATACTCTGTATTCACTAAGGTTCTTACCAGCTGTAATATCACATGTTCTGCATGCCACTCTTGTTTACCATAGTGGCAGAGTTAAACATGTGAATACAAATATCTATGACAATTTGGGAAATTTGTTTTTTAAATAGGATATCTAGCTACATCTTCAATGGCTCCTGTAGATGTGAGCACACTGACTCCAAACAACACGCCTCAAAGTGAGTATAGCAAGCCTTTCCAAAAATGTTTCAAAAGAGACAACAGGCTCACAAGTGTTACTACAGACATGATAATGTGGAGGTTTGGGTAAAAGGCTATATTTCCTCATTTGATGTTGATATTTTTGGTTTGAGTTGCTTGTTGTAATTTGTAATTTGGTAACTATATATTGATATGACAATCACTATTTAAAAAAAAAAAAGATTAATGATTGTTATTTTACTACTAGAAGCCCAGTGCACAAAATTTGTGCATGGAGGTGGAGGGGAGTCCCTCAGCTTGGCTTTCACCTTCTCTTAATCTGGGACCACTGGATCCTAACTGCTTGCCAGCCTGCCTGCCTCATTGCCCCTAACCACTCATCTACCTGCCTGATAGTCCCTAAGTACTCTACCTGCCTGCCTGATCATCCCTAACCACTTACCTGCCTGCCTGATTGCCCCTAACCACTTGCCTGCCTGTCTGCTTGATTGCCCCAACCCCCTCTGCTGCCTGATTGCCCTTAACTGTTCGCCTGCCTGCCTGACCACCCCTACCCACTCACCTGCATGCCTGACCACCCCTACCCACTCACCTGCCTGCCTGATCACCCCTAACCCCTTTTGCCTATCTGCCTGACAGTCCCTAACTGCTCACCTTCCTGCCTGATCGCCCCTAACCACCTCTGCCTTGGCCCCCACCACCAGGTTTTATCAGGAAGAACGTCGTCCAGAATGATATCCAGAAGGTTGTTTGGCTGTCTGGTCTAATTAGCATATTATGTTTTTATTATTATAGCTACCTTTTATTTATCATGTGATTTTAAGATAATATTTAAGTAGTCTTGACAGCACTCCTAGTGATCTGAATTGGTTACAAGAACAGAAAAAGGAAGTAAATCATGATTAGCTGGCATTAAACACAAGCTGCAGAACTTTCCCTCAATATGCCAGCTAGTGTTACTTCATAGCGAGGCACATTTCAATTTTCAGATTTCCCCAAAGTCACATAAATTAAAAATTCAGCACTCACAGCAAAGTTAAATTACATCTTTATAAAAAGCTTGGATTCTGGAAATTTTGTCTTACAGCAAGCAATTCCAGTGTGACTACCCAAGGCTTCAACTACTCCTGGACCTCCAGTGGGAAAGATATCAAAAACTGTAAGTATAACCATGAGTCTTTTTTTAGTCCTCTCTGCCCCGAATTCATTCATCTAACATACATATTGAGTAACTCCTATATGTTTTTTCATAATATTAACAAATATTTCTAAGGTATCCACCACATTTGAAACATTAATGTTGGAGCTGGGCAGACATCTGTGAACAGACAGATCTAAATTCCAAATCCTGGTTGAAGAAAGACAGACAAATGATGAGTGAGATAGAAAACATAAAGCAGAAAAGGAAGTCAGTGAGAATATAGGGTCAGAGTGGGTTCCCATTCTAAATAAAGCTTTCCAATGCCTTAAATTTAAGGTGACATCTGAGTAAGGATATAAGTAATGGAGGTAGAAGTGCAAGCTTTTAGTGTATCTATGGAAGAAGCATCCTAGCAGAATGCATACTATCTCTAATAAAAATGAAAGAGGGAGCCCAGATGAGGCACAGAAATGATCTTTTACCTTTGATCTGGCCAGCTAGCAGCTGCAGTGTCTGCAGCCACTGTGTAGCAGGAATTGACAAAGACCAGTATTGTGACAGCACAGCAAGGGATGTGTGGCAGAAGTGAAACCTTGGATGCCAGGTTTGTGACTTTATCTGCTAGGCTCTTTGCCACGAACAGTAGATGGCCATGTTCCCTTTGGCATGCATTAAGTTGTACCTTTAAAACTTCTCAAAATATTTTCTACCCACTGACTCAGTCATCTTCCTGCATGGAACTTATCCTTAGGAAATAAATAAAAGAGAAACATATAATATTGCTTTCTATAGAATTATTTATTGCTTTCTTTCATCTCTCTTTGTTGGGAGCCATTAGAGTTGAGACAAGCAACTCATCTCTTATGGACATTAGGTTCACAAACTTGAGTTAATCATAATTTTTAATTCATGAGGCACTTTCAACATCAGTCTGTGTATAACCCTCTATAATTTAATGTGTCATATTAATTTAAATAAATATGTTAATAATATAAGTTGATTCTTGAACAGCATGGGTTAGAATTGCACAGATGTACTTATATGTGGATTTTTTTTCACTAAATATATAAAATAGTGTAAATGTATTTATTCTCTTCCTCTTGATCTTTGTAATAGCATGTTCTTTTCTCTAGCTTACTTTATGTTAAGAGTACAATATTTCACAATGTGTATTAATCAACTATGTTATTAATACATAAGTAAGGTTTCTGGTCAACAGTGAGCTATTAGCAATTGTCTTGGAGGAATTAAAATTATATGCGAATTTTCAACTACAAAGGAGTCAGGATCCCTAACCCCAGTGTTGTTCAAGGGTAGATTATAAGAGACACTTGTAAACTCACTGCCTAAGTAAATACAAGACTAAAAAGGCATCATCAGAAGAAATAACACAAAGTGCACAAATAAGTGGAACTTCGATGCGTGTCAAAGGCAGCATAGCAGAGTACTGGGAAGAAGAGAGACTGCTCAGCAAATGACCTAGAAACATTTATTATTTATAAGGGAAAAAAAGTATTAAAATATACTTCTACCATGCACATTACACAAAAATAAACTCCATATCCTTTATGTCAAAAGCAAAACACTAAAACATAATCAAATAAAGGTGAATTTCTTCCAAGCTTTGAGGCAGGGAAGGACTTAAAGAAGAGAGAAAAAACACTCACCATTATCAAAATAGAAAGAATAGAATCAAATAAATTAAGATAAATAATATTTTATCAAAAGACACCTTAAGGAATGTAAGAAAGAAAGGAAAGAAGGAAGGAAGGAAGGAAGGAAGGAAGGAAGGAAGGAAGGAAGGAAGGAAGGAAGGAAGGAAGGAAGAAAACTAGAATCTGAGAGAAGATATTTGTTACACATGTAATTGGAAAAGGACTAAAACTATATAATTCACAATGGATCAAAATGTTATTTCATGGATAATAATAAAGAATGCCTACAAATCACTAAGAAGAAAAGCAGAAAGCAATAGACAATGAACAAATAGGTATATCACAAATCATGAAACAGTGGCTAGCCAAAACTGGTTTGGCTCAGTGGATAGAGCATCGGCCTGTGGACTGAGAGGTCCCAGGTTCTATTTGGGTTAAGGGCATGTGCCTTGGTTGCAGGTACATCCCTAGTGGGGAGTGTGCAGGAGGCAATTGATCGATGTTTCTCTCTCATTGATGTTTCTAACTTTCTATCCCTCTTCCTTCCTCTCTCTAAAAAGTCAATAAAATATATTAGTAAAAAAAAATAGTGGCTAGAAAAAAAGGATTCTCAACTTCTCTATTAATCAGAAAACACAAATGAAGGCTATAATGAGATAATCATTTTATACCTAATTAATTAGCAACAGTTAAGTCTGTAATTATTGCATGTTATATGAACTAGAGAGCAATGTACAATTTTATATATTGCTAGTGAGAGTATAAATTGTTACCATCACTTTAGCATTATGTTTTTAAAATGAATATTTTCATACATTGCAATCCAACAATTTTTTTCCTGGATAAATATTCTAATACACACACAACAAAACACTAGCTCATATATCCAGGAAATATGTACACTATTCATAATAGCAAAAACTATGAATAATCTAAATGATCATAGCCAGGAGACTAGATAAATAACTTGTAACATTGCTATATAATAAAATATCATAAAGTAATGAAAAATGAGTAAATGACAGTCACATACAACAACATGAATGAATCTTCATAACATTTTGTTGAATCAAAAAAGTAAATGCCAGGTGACAATATATGGAATAATATTTTTAAATAAATTTAAAAGCAAGTGCAACCAGACACTATATGGTTTAGGTATAACATGTGATTAAAAAAAAAACTTTAAAATTAAATAAATGAATAATAGATACAACATTCAGAACAGTGTTTGCTTTTGAATGGCATAACAGGGGTGAGATGAGGTAGACAAATAATGTTTATTTTTAAAAATTAAAAAATGTGTGTGTGTGAAGGAGAATGATGGGGCATTTGGGAAGAATTTCTCCAATAATAAGAGAATGTGGAATAGCATAAGATAATAAGTCAATGAAATATTATGAAGCCCATTAAAACTATAGTTATAGTGTACTAAAAGTATGTCTTATTATGTAGACAAGGCTAGGAGTTGGAAAGGTTTACCAATCAGTTATAAATTGAGAATAAAATATTTGTTAGACTGGGGATGAAAACCTATACTTAATAAATTAACATTTATCCTATATGGTGTTAATAAAAAATAGAGTTGTTTGTAACAAACTATGCTGAAATCAGACCTCACTAACTTGTCATCCCTTATTCTCAATAATATAATGCAAGTAAATTCCATGCGATTTTTGGTTTGCTTGCTTACCTGTGTCCATAGTGCCTAAGGTAATGCCTGCCGTATAGTTAGTTCTCAATAAATATTGTTGAAAGATAAATTAAAGCATACTTGTTGATGACATGGGTGGAGAGAATTGTGTAGCAGTGAGCAAAAGAGTTTATTGGACAATGATATAACAAAAAGCTGAACTTAAATTTATGCTACAATTATATAATATATATTATCCCATATTTTAATTATCAGCATAACAGTTATTGCCTGATGTTTTTCTTTATTGTATTTATTTGATTTTCTATTTAAATTATACTAGAATGTAAGATACACAAGAACAAGCACTTAACCTTTTTTCTGACTTGTTCACTATTGTATCTTGATATTTGTAGAGTGGCAGGCATACATAGGTACTCAGAAAATCTTTCTTGAGTATTTGAAAGAGTATGTGTACACATGGGCAAGGACAAGAAAGAAAACACACATAAATACAGTGAAAAGAAATGACCTACTTAAATGGAATTTTTGACCTTTTTATTTATTTGCTTTATTTAAATTCTTACTAAAATACTATGTGTGCCAGGAATAAAATAAAAAAAAATTGTCCCAGGCATAACATCAATATGAAGCAGGCAAGCCACCCAAGGTACATTTTGTCTCAGACACTGGAAAACTGAAAAGGATTTGAAAGTTCTCTATAATTTACACAAGTCTATTTTTGGTCTTTCTAATATATTTCATACTGAAATGAACTATTGTAACACTTCACATTTTCTTTCTTTCCCCAGTTGAAAACTTTATTTATCCTCACGTATCTCTTTATCATTTTTATAATGAAAATAGCTTTAGAAATTGTGAAATATAGAAATGCAACTTTAAAACCCAATAAACAATTTTTTCCTGGCAGTGAAACACCCACATTTTTACTTGTGCAAGAATAAGAAGTCCTTGTTAACAAATTGTCATGTTTTATCCATAAACATAGAAAAATTTCCTGCAGTGAGTTGTTCTATTTATAATCACTGACAAAAACACATTAGGATCCAACAAGTGCATATTGATTATTTATTCCCAAACTATTTTTGAAGCATGTTCCTACTCATTGGATTGTACTATAATGTAACACCCAATATTAGATGATGCACTTAGCAAGACTCGTGGCAGGCATTGGCAGCGGGATTTGTTTTCTTCCATTATGTTTATTCCAATAGATTTATAAAATATTCAGAGACAGGGAAAAGAATAATAATGAATGGTTTTCTTGTGAAATAATCCCACAGCAGTGTTTTTTAAGGCCATTGCTATTTGTGATCTTGTGATATGGGATATTTGTTTATATACATGTATTTTACATAGCTCATATTTATTTGGGTGTCACTAGATGGTTCTGAGTTCATTGCACTTACATTAAATTTATAAATATATGGTTTAATGTATTATTTTGTTGTCATTTTTTTTAATCAACTTGAAGAAGTCTAAGCTGGGATTCATGAATATTGAAGTCTAACCTTAGTTCAGCTTCCAAGTTTCCTCAATCTAAAACAGATATGCTTATTTTACTTTAAGCACCTGTGAAATGGGGATACCAAATCTGACCAACTAAATGCCCCAAATCTACAAAGTTAATAACATCTGATAACATGTTTTCTTCCTGACACTCAGGTGATCAGACCATAGAGCAGAAAATTTAAGTTTAATTACTTTTTTGATTTTTGGTTTTCCCTGTTATCCATCTGGTCCACTGGAGATGAAAACCATATTTAATTCAGTCTGTCAGTTAGACAAGCAGAAAAATGATATGAATCTCCATGAATCATTATGCCTCCAACTTGCTCTATTAACAAAAATCAACAAGCTCACTACACACACACACACACACACACACACACACACACACACATACACACACACCTGGGCCTCAGAGTACCTCTTACTGATATCACATGGGGTCTTTATTCTGTTCTTTAACCATGCATTCCTTATCCTTCAAATTATATGTATTCTTCTTAAACCTTGAAAATGCATTGCTTATCTTGCCCATGATTTTATCTGGCTCTTCTCAGGCTTTTGAGAGCTGTGTCTAATAATTTCTTAACAACCCCCTTTTTACTTTCCATTGACAGAAGGTGATGGAGAGGCTAGAATTGGGGGGTTGAGGGTCAGTGGTAGGGACATAGGAATGAGAGAGCCTATAGCAGCACTGGATCTTATTCCTATTTAAATCTCCAGGATAATTTTCAGTCCCTCTGTTCCCTGTTGGCTTTGATCCTGATCCTCTAAATTCACCACTCTTGTTTTCAAATTCTAAAATATTTTATGTCTCTGATCACATCTCATTCCATTTTCCTATCCTCTAAAATGTTGTTTTCCCTTTCTGTCATATAGTTTCTAATTAGGTCAGTCTCAAATTAATTATTCATTTCTCTGATTTTAAATTATATATATTTTTTTGTTAAACTACCAGTGTCTGGGGACTTTTGTACAGCGAGAACACAAATGTCACACTTTGAAAGCTCATGCATGTCATCTTCTTTTGGTGGCCAGGAAGAGTATGAGGATCCCACCTTTGGCCTAGGTGATCATGGCAAGAGTACACACACAGTAACTTGTTCCAGCATTTATGTTCTAGTGGAAGAGGTGGTGCTGGCCGAATACATACTCAGCCTGAAGAGGAAGACGGGGCTGAAGACCAAGGTCATAGAGATCTTGGTATATAAGCCCTCCATCTTGAGTTATTACTTGCCACCTATGCCATTGTATTAGGACAAAATTAATTACATAAGAACTCAGAGTGCCTTAAGGAAGACTACATAATCAAATAAAAAAAGTCTGGACATGTAAAATTATTCCATAATTTGAAAGTTCAATTTGCCATAAGAATCCTACAAAGGTAACAGATTATCACTGGTTTCATCAAAAGATGAGCTGCCAACCTTCAGGTAACCACAGACTAAGTAGATTTCTCTACAAAGAGAAAATATGCCTGCCATGTCATGATATTATTGATAACTATAAATTAGTTACAGACAGATGTCCAAAGGAGTTATTGCAAGTAACTGAAAAATACCGTGCTATTGAAATTGATCCTGTTTTTACCATTAAAGAGAAGTACATTTTTATGATAGAATGGTATTACATGGTTTCCTTGTTGAACAAGCTTTGCTAATAGTAAAATTTTAAAAAATTGTGGAAGAAATCAAGGTTATGTTAAAAAGATTATATAAAAATGTATTTGAGAAACTCCATCAACATAATATACCTGTGTTCATGTTTTAGCTGATAATAGTGATGTGCTAAAGGAGGTTATCCATCAAGCTGGTGTCTATCATCTAAATGTCAAAGTCATGTTCATTTGTGGATTTTGATGAAAATGGGTGCTCAAAGGTTTGACAGAGATTTAACTCTTGAATTTAACAACACAGAATATTTCAATCAATTAAAAGACAATAACAACACAATTCTGCTGAGACTCTTGAGACTTAAAAATGGCCAATAGTATGGTCAATGTGAAACAAAATTCTAAAAATCATATAGCTAAATGATAGAGTAGGAACTTTCAGAAAAGTATATCATTTAGTGAAAGATGAGTTATTGTACATAACCAATTCTATCTTACTAAAGATGCTGTAAACAAGCATTCTTAAGGAAGGCCTCACCTGTGGGCACATTTATTGTAAAAATTGTTCATCTCTTCATCTTGCTGAAATTTTATTTATAATATATTCTTTCTCTTGAAGGTTGTTTAAAAATATATTTTTATTAATTTCAGAGAGGAAGAGAGAGAGAGAAATATCAATGAAGAGAGAGAATCATTGATTGACTGCCTCTTTGTGCCCCACTCTGGGGATCGAGCCTGCAACCTGGACATGTGTCCTTGACCAAAATTGAACCCAGAACACCTCAGTCTGCAGGCTGATGTTCTATCCACTGAGCCAAAACAGCTCGGGCTCATGATTTTTTTTTTTTTTTTTTTTTTTTTTTTTTACATTACTTAAGTGTTTTAGACATGCTGAATCCATCAACTAGAAGCTCCTTTTTTCTTCACCTTCCTCAATACACTCCCCACTGTATTTTTTAAACTAAGTTAAAATAAAATCTTAAAGCCAAAATTAGAGAAATAACTCTACTCTTCCAAAATAGTTTTTGTAGTTTAATTCTATCACACATTTTTAGATGTCTTTTTACACTTGAAAAATACCTAAAAGTCTAAAAAGAAACTTTATGAAATGGGCAAATAATTTGCATGATTTTAAATACTGTAATTTGGATGGATCATACTAATGATATCACCATTTCCTGAAATTATGTTACGCTTAAAAAAACAAACAAACAAACAAAAAAAACGCCTTCGAATCCACGTGTAACTAATCATTACAAACTGTTCCCCTGTGACCTGCTGATAATAATCATGAAATGGAAAAATCTTAAAAAAAAAAAAAAAATACCTGTCTTTCTCAAAGGGATAGCATTTGGTCAACCATTTTATAACCTTAATGCCCCTGCCAGCGGGACAGCAACGTGGGAGCGAGGAGACACCTGGAAGGGAATGAGGGAGGACAGGAGATGTGGAGAAGTGGAGGCAAGACAGGGTTCTGATCAAGCCTCAAATTTTATTTGTTGCAGCCGCAATATATGTACACAGGTTGTAGGGGTTAGTTGCTGCAGAGACATTCCAGGGCGGGGAGGGTTGTGTATCAGCAGGATGTGTCTGTAGGGGAGGATACAGCAGGGATTCTCCGGGGCGGGGCGAGTTATCACAACAGGTGTGCCTTGCTCAATGGCCAGATATGCTGCTAGGCATTTAGATTGTTTCTAGTTACCTGCCACACAGCAGCTTGTCACTTGAGTTCTGGTAAGTCAGAAACTCAGTGTCTAAGATGGAGGTGTCTTTTAAGATGTAGTCACTGATTCTTTTTCGGCTCCCGACACCTTAACATAAATTAATTTATTACATACTTTCTTAAAAACTGAATTTGAAGAGATAATATATAAAGACATCAAACACTAAAAATAGAAAGTAAGTGAAACACAATATTGGGCAAAAACAAAACAAAAAATAAGGGGGGGTGGGGGGGGAGGAGAAACCTGAACAAACTGTCTTCATTATAATTGTACCTAAATCCAGGCCTCTTACTAATTTCTTTTTATAATTGTTGCTCTTTGTCAATCAAATTCCTATCTTAACGACTTAATCATTAAAAATGGACATTTAAAATTACTCAGTACACCAACATCTGTATACCTTGGTAGTCTAGGGGGAAAAAAAGAGTTGAGATCATAGGTGCAGGGTCAGATAATTCTATTGAAGATAAGAACATCTCTCTGGCCTAGTCAAACTCTAAATAGCTGTGTACAAAACCACCCTTTCCTGTGAACTGACTCCCCATGGAAGTTGCCATGACAGATTGTCCGGGGACCAATGCCTCTTCTGAAGTACCTAATAACATACATTGGTCTGCAGCTGCAAATGCCCTTGGTATTCAAGGGAAAACCAAGAAAGGGGAAGGCTGGGGCTGTTTTTTGTGGTTTATTTTTTAATGTTTGTTTTATTTTATTTTGGTTTTGATTATTTTGGTTTGGACACACAAGAAGACACTTAACTTGCAAAATCATGTATGCTAATGTTTTAACTAAATGAGCATACTACTCAGGCACCACTAGAGTTATTTTACTTTATATCACATTATTGGCCTGTTATCAAATACAGTTATGGGGAGTTTGCCAAGAAGTGGATTTTCTTGCCAGAGATGGGGAACTAAACAAAATGAGTTAATGGCTCTATTTCAAAAGCCATATGTGCTGAGTTTGCTGCCATCCACTCAAGGGGAAGGTTTGCCACAGAATACATTAAAAGGCTACACTCAGCAGCTAACAGGCTTATAACAATCAGGATCTGATAATTCACTGTTGATACAGTTCAATTTTCACAGTTGAATAAAAAATGTCAGCTTACTCACAAATACAAATGATTTTGTTCCCTCAGGTGTTCTACCAAGTTCTTCAAAGTCCTATTGGCACCTCTCCTCGACTAAAGGCCACCATAACACACCTGGGCTTTCATTCTCTCACATAAGCTCATCTGTGGATGGCCACGAGAATAGTCACAGCACCTTCTCTGTGGCTGAAAGAACCTCTCCTAGTAGTTTTATTTCTTTTTCTTTCTCCTATTTGTCTATAATACAGGCCTTCTACTAGCATTACCTCAACTCCCACTTTATTTTGGGACTTTCTAATGTGTGCTGCAGAATAGTACAATGATGTTGCTTTAAATATACATTAATATCCCTCTTTTATAATCATTAGATTCAATTAAAAGTTAAGAAGAGAAAATAACTAGTCTTTTACAGATTGATTCTTCCATTATGTTCTTCCTTTAGCAGCTTCATGGATGCCCAGTGAAACACACAGTTCATTCCCCTCAGATGTGGACTCTACAGTTCATGGTAAGCAGTGTGGAAGACTTAGGGTCAGGAGAGGTAGTGGTCTGCTTCATCTTGACAGAGATTAAAAAACAAGGATTGCTAAGAATCCAATCTCTGATAGATATTTAAAAGTGCATCTTGTTAATGAAAATGGCAATGACAATGACAATGATAATGAATGGAACCAAAATTCTGCCCAGTCACTGAAAGAAGATAGAGACCAAGTATTAGATTTTCCTCTTTTATTTCAAAACTAGAGGCCAGTGTACTCAAAATTTGTGCACGGGGCAGGGAGTCCCTCAGCCCACCCTGTACCCTCTCCAATCTGAGACCTCTCGGAGGATCTCTAACTGACTCTCGCAACCTGGGACTGCTGGCTCCTAACCGCTTGACAGCCTGCCTGCCTGCCTGATTGCCCCTAACTGCTGCCCTTCTGGCCTGATCACCCTTAACTGCCTCTGCCTCACCCTGCACCCAGGACCCAGGATTCCCTCCTCCAACAAGTCACAGGCACCTGGGACCCAGGCTTCCCTCCCTCTGGCTGGCTGCTGGCACCCAGGACCCAGGCCAGCTTTGCCCTGGCCAGCTGCAGCTGCAGGGGACCATGGGCAGGTGGCTTCACACGGGCTGCAGCCACAGGCACTGACACCCAGGACCATGGGGCAGGTGGCTTGTTCCTCTCTTAGGCCATAACCTGGTTGGTCCCCATGCCTTTCTTGCAAGCTCATTTGTGCCTGGCTGGTCCCCATTCCTCTCTTCCCAGTGTTAAATGTCTGAGTCATTATGGCATGCAGGTGTGATGACTATTTGCATATTAGCTCTTTATTATATAGGTTTACCGTATTTTTCGGACTATAAGACGCACTTTTTTTCCCCCCAGAAGTGGGGGGGAAAAGTCCCTGCGTCTTATGGTCCAAATATAGCCTACATATATACTTTAAAAAAAAAAGTTTTTTTACTTGCCCGGCTCTGTGTGGTCTCTGTGTGCTTGCCTGGCTCTAAAATGGTTCTAAATGCTGCTGTTTACTAGTTTACAGGGTTGATTACATGTGTTTATGACTGTGATGTTGGATTTTAATGCACATAAAATATTTTAGGACACTATTTGTTTCAGAATCTTTTTTTCTTCATTTCCCTTCTCTAAAAACTGGTGTGTCTTATGGTCCGGAGCGTCTTATGGTCCGAAAAATACGGTAAATCTATATAATGGCTTTTTTTTAACCAATTGAAATCATTAAAAATGCATTTTGTTTTATTTTTCCATTGGAAGATTGAATGATTTGTCAATATAGATTTGTCTACTTGAATGATGCCAATGAATTTTTATTGACCTTTCCAAATACATTAGAGTGGGGAGAATCAGTATTTTGATTGGCTAGAACAGTGATTGAAAACTCATTAGTCAATAGAGCCAAATATCAACAGCACAACGATTGGAATTTCTTTTGAGAGTCAATTTTTTAAAACTTAAACCTCTTCTAACGCCACTGGTATTTTGTGGAAGAGCCACACTCAAGGGGCCAAAGAGCTGCATGTAGCTCATGAGCCACAGTTTGCCAACCACTGGGCTAGACCTCTGTTATTGTGAGAGAATAGGGATATACCTCATCTTTCCATGCTCCCAACTTAAGATACTTTCCCGTAATTATTTAAATTTCTCATGGAGATTCTTTAGCAGATATTGGATTGTAATGTGCGCTATGCAGCTTCTCTCTCTCTCCCCTTATTTATTTTTTTATTTAATCCAATAGGAAACTTCACTATTTGGTGCCATATTAGACAGAAACTAAGATTCTGGCCTTGCAGTAAATTGATCCTTAGTGAACTTTACACATAAAATATTTTAGGAGTGTTTAAGCCATATAAATTGAGCTCTTCCTAACAGCAAGTGAAATCCAGTCATGATTTTATACTATTTGATCAGATTGAGATGGCTATTAGGAACAGTTCAGATAATCCCCTTTGTATCCCTAGGTGATGACTTCATTAGGACAACCGAAGAATTTCCAGAAGTTCCCACAGCTGCCAATAGATCTACTAAAAATAACGACATCCATATCACTGGTGAGCCATATGCCATTTACTTTTGGATGTTATGTTTTATTGACTCAAGAAATATTTATTGAGTACAGTTTGCCAGACACTGTGTCAACTGTTGGGCATACAGTGAAAACACTGACCTCCTGAAGATAGTAATCTGTTAGAGATGATATATAGTGATTAAGTAGCCATATAATTAAATTTATTTGTGACATGCTATGATATAGTACAGGTATTGTCAGCATCTAACAGAAAGATCTGATTTTAATTGGGGAACAGGAAAATATGGAATAACATTTCAGTCTTGTGAAAATATAGTCTGAATCAAGAAAGAGATTGTTGGAACAAAAAGAATTCCTGTATTATATTAATAAAAATTAATCAATGCTAAATGTAATCCATTATTTTATATAAGGAGGTTCAATAAAGTTAGGACCCTCCCAATGCAGGTCTTAATCATAAATTCAGAGGTCTAATCAACACTTTCACTTCAGGGGTTGTTCACTTGATTAGTGAGCACTTCACCTGTGTAATCATTTTATTTCATATGGAAGGTCATGCAATCCTTAGATCATTAGAGCATCATCCTCACACAACATGTCAACAGAATTGCAAACTGTGTTCCTACCAATATAAGATATTGGTGACTTTAAGAACTGCCTACTTTGGAAATGGGGCCCGATTGGAGCTCGGCTTCTGCACTGAGACATTCCTGAAGTCAATGATCTTATTCTATATTTGGTTTGAAGAAAAATTTTGTAAACATTAACCTAACACCCATTTAAAAAACTTTTTATTCTTTTATTTCTCTAAAACTTTGGGGATAAATATTATTTCCTACCATATTACTAGTGTAGAGCCTAGTTAATTTTGATTTCACTAAAACAGAACGTTGTGCAGTCCTGAGCTGTTCCTTAGGTGATCACAATACTCCAGTGGTTTGAATTTCTGAACTCTCTTTAGTCACTGATGCATACACAGTATCACATGGTTGTGTATGGAAGAACTCCATGAGCTTCCAGGGTACCCTCGGGGTCCGTTTCAACAGGGCTGAGGTAGGGTGAGCTTCAGGAAGACCTCAAATCCTGGATATATGTGTTGTGAGAGAAAAAGTCTTCAGTCTTCCACACTGATAACCAACACTCTGTTAACTTAACATAATGTGGCTGCAGTCCAAACTACAATATGTAAGACATAGAAAAGACTTGGTACGTAATATTCTAAATCCAGTTTTTTAGACTGTATCTTTTTTTTTTTTTTTTGAGACTTGTATGGAAAACAGTATAATAGATCTAGACAACAAATGAAAATAAAAACCTTTATAATCTGGATTAAATCAGTCCAGATAATTTTGATATAAAAATTCACTTTTTGCCCAAATGATCTATGTAATCTAAAGAGCTAAAGATCTATCTATAATGTATAAGGATTCCACTGGAGTGTTGTTAGAGATAATAAAAGCCTGGACACAATTCAACCACCTGACATTAAGAGACCAATTAAATAAACTATGGTAGATCTCTACATTTGGGGAACTAGCCAGGAGTTTAATCAAGTGAGGTCAATCTCTATACACTTATTTGGAAAGTATTCCAAGAAAATTTTTAAGAGAAAAAAAGCCAGGGAACAGGCAGAACAATATGTAGAGTATGTCCGCATTTGTAATAAAAGGGATGTATATTCATGATACATATTATATTATATTGTATGTTTATGTATGCATAGGAAATTTCTGGTAGGATATGTAATTAACTATTGAAAGTTATTGCCTCTAGTGTGCGTAACTGGTACCTAAATAGTAAGGGCACTTTTTTTTCACTGTAGTTTTATAGTTCTGTGCTGTATGAATTGTAAACACGATCTCAGTAGTTTGTTTGTTTTTTAATATATTTTATTGATTTTGTACAGAGAGGAAGGGAGAGAGATAGAGTTAGAAACTACTCTATAGAGTCATCGATCAGCTGCCTCTTGCACACCCCCTACTGGGGATATGCCCGCAACCTAGGTACATGCCCTTGACCGGAATTGAACCCGGGACCTTTCAGTCCCCAAGCCGACGCTCTATCCATGGAGCCAATCCGGTTTCGGCTGATCTCAGTAGTTTTTAAAAAGAAAATACTTCTATTAACTGCCAGGTAGAACCAGGCAATTTCAATTGCTAAAATGTAAAACCATCCAGAGTAGGATATTTATTTTGCTGCTAGTCTAGAATCTATAATATTTTAAAGACTTTGATTCATGCAGTTTAATTTATTGATAATATTCAAATGTTAATGAATGAGTTGAGTATGGATATGGTCAGCAAGAATAAGAAAAATCAGCCCATTGATTACTCACCAATATCATTTTAGCCAGTCTGTTACTTTCAACTTCCTCCCTTTTCAGACCACAGAAATTGCAATACCAACTGGTTTCAGTTTTAACTGTTTTGTCCATTCTCCCCTTTCTATTCTTGAAATGGATATGGGGAATAAAAAAGGAGGCTATGTGATAGAAAAGGATAAGAAAATCTCTAGCCTGGATATGATTCCTTGAGTGACATTCAAATGAGAAGTCTTGAAACATAGTTTTTCAGCACTACAACTCCATAGGTATTATCCAGGGTTTCTCAGCTTTAGCTCTTCAGGACTTTGGAATGTCACACTGCTTTTTACTCTTTTTCCCTCCTCCTATCACATGTGCTTCCATAGAGCATTTAGTGACTCCTTCAAGAATAAGAAAACCCAAAGGTAGACTATTGTTTCAAAAATAACGTTAACTTACAAATTATTTTAATTTATTCATTCTTGCAAATACCCTGTTTCCCCGAAAATAAGACAGTGTCTTATATTAATTTTTTCTCCCAAAGTTCCGCTAGGTCTTATTTTTGGAGGATGTCTTATTTTTGGGGAAATACGGGTAACATTTCTTTGGGTACCACATGTCAGGAATTGTCCAGGGCCTTGGGGAAATGAAGGAAAAGATCAGCTGTGGAACACATGACCAAGAAAGACATTCATGTAAAAACGTGGTTGTATAAATGCCAAACCAGAAATTAGAACAAGGCATAGACAAGGTCCCTTGGTGTGACTGTGGTCAGGAAACACCTTTGGCCCTTGATTGAAATATCTGTCAGGTGGGAGAAATTCTGTTTTCCAATGGCCAAAGTTTAGCATTAAAATTCTTCTCTTTATGCCCTTTTCAGATAATGTGGTTAATAAGCCCAAAGATGGAATGTCCTGGCCAGTGATGGTAGCAGCTTTGCTCTTTTTCTGCCTGGTATTTTTTGGTCTTGGAGTGAGAAAATGGTGTCAATACCAACAAGAAATGTGGGTATAATGCCAAGATATGCAGGAACCGATACTTCTTCAATATGCATTATTCATTCAGCACTATAGATATCATTCCTATATTGAGTCATATTTAACAGAGGAAATAAGGCTCAGAGAGGTAATGTAGCTTTCCCACAACACACAATTGGGCTTAGATACACAACTTCTGATTTGGTAGCCCTTCTGCCTTGTTCAGGCTGTAACACTGCACTCAGCAAGTAGAACAGTCAGTGGGCATGAAATAAAAACCGAGCCTCACCTTACCTCAAAATTGAAAATGATTTTTCTTTTAATCTTTATTATTTTTTCATTTTCATGCATCTCTGACCTGCCTGAGCCTAGCCCTGCTGAGATGCTCAAGTGTGAAATTGAGTGAGAAAGGTAATTTTAAGAAATTTCCAGCTGCTTTTCAGCAGAATGAGCTTTTACTGCCCTTTACCTTTTTCCCCAAGAGGAAAAGAAACTAAGCAGTTGGTTACCCCCCTTTTTTTAAGTCGTATTGAAATATTTTCTGGAACTCTTCTTCCAATCCACAATCTGAAAGGACACATAAGGTTATGCTCTACTTTTCTGACAGATCTATGTTGAATCAGTCCAGATTAGGCCACAATTAGAGGAGACCCTCATAATACATAGGTCTGATCTTCCACATATCTGCCAATTACTATCATGGTGAATAAAACACTAAACCAATAGTCAGAATTTATGGATTCTCATCCAAGTACTACACTTTGGTCACCATATGACCTTGAGAAATTCAGAATTTACCTGAAAGAAACAAAAGTGCAAATTTCTTAATACTTTATTTACCTTTTGATAAATACTGTCTCCATTAAAGCATCAGAAAACCAGGTAATAGACACTGGGGATTTGTTTAATAGAATGAGAAAGTTATGGGACTGTGAAAATCTGAAATGATTTTTTGTTGTGTGTTAGTCAAATGCCTGTGCTATACAGAAATGAGAAACAATGTTTTTATGGGAGAGAGAGAAGTTAAGGTACTAAGGATTGATAGACAAGGGCTAGAGGTGTTTGGTTGTGGACATAAATCTGCTCACAGATATATTTCTGTTTTCTATTATCAGTAGGGCTGAGGCATTTGTATAGCTAGATCTCACAGTCACCTGTATGCCTGTTGCATTTCAGACAAGAGATGAGTTGCGTTAACAGAGAATAACACTTTATACAAAGATGACATTCAGAATGTTCACTTATATAAAGAGAAGGGACTCTGGTACTATCTATTCTGTACCAATCAACTCAAGGATTCAATTGAGTGTAACATTTTTGTCTTTACTTCCCACCTAAACCAGATCCCACAGCACACAGAATTTTAAAATTTTGTCTCTAGAGGAATATTTTTAACCCACATAAGAGAAGCACTTCTATTAAGAACCAGTTGTCATGAAGAGTATGGGTTTAAGTTAAAAGACTTGAATTGCTCGTCTGGTTCTCTTGAACAAGATGCTTAAAACCTTGGTGCCTAATTTTTATATATGGAATGGTGACAATAATATTCAATTTCTAGATATAAGGTTATAACGAAAACACTTTGCAAACTATACAATTACCATCTAAATATTAATTAATGATATTATCATGAGAAAACTAACAAGCAGAAAGTTATGCCAAGAAAATTCTGAGAGCTAGTGGGGTATGTCTTTCTTTTTCTCTGTTTCCTACTTCAATCACCTCCTCACATTCTTAGCATTAAAAGAGCAATGTTTTGTTCCTAGCATGGAAAGACCCCCATCTTTCAAGCCGCCTCCCCCTCCCATCAAGTACATTTGCATTCAAGAATCCATTGGAAGTGATCTACCCTGTCACGAGATGGAAGCACTCCAAACCTTTGAGACTTTGCCATACAATGAAACTCTGCTAGAATCCTATTGAGATGGTAGATATTTTGTTTATTAAGTATTTGCCCTCTAGCCAAGCCTCTTCTGTGGCTAAAATGGATGTCAGGAGAGAATGACCTGTTTTCCCAGCAACTTGTCCCCTTTCATCTGAGCATGCCTTTACAGAAGAGTGAGGATATGTTATGCTGACACCCAGTGCAATCTGCAGGAATGTCCTTGCTTATGTAACAAGTGCAAATTAGGCTACTGCCATAAAAAATGCTTGCAGTGTTTTATTTTTCATTTTAATTATCTGATTGAGGTGACACCAATGGTTTCGAGCATATGTCTGTAACAGAGCTTTTTCTCTTTGGGCATCTGCCAACATTCTAAACTATTTGCCAAAATCATGCTAATCTCTGAGGCTTTTTCTACATTTCCTAGGAAAATTACAAGAAGAAAATGTGAAAGTTCTAGCAGGAGTCTTTATATTGAAATTATGTTATTTATTTTCAATGCAGAAAACAGCATAAGAACCCCATTCCAATCCTCCTTCACCTTTCTTCCCAGTACATTCAGCCCAGGCTCCTGCCCTGGGGAATAAGGAAGGTTCAAAGAGATAACTACTCAACAACCATGTAGCCTAATAGATACAAACCTGAACTGGCTTCTAAAATTATATGAGCTAAGCGTGATCTCATTATTGGCTTCACGTGTGTGTGTTTGTGTGTGTGTGTGTGTGTGTGTATGTGTGTGTGTGTGAAACCATTGGCAAACTGGTATATAAGTAAACAGACAGCCTAACCCTAATCTAGCTCATTTCATTTCCATTATTCTCTTTTTCATCTGTGGATCTCTCTGTTCATCCAATGTGCCTGTTTTGATATGTCTTGAAACAAATAAAGAACCTCAAATCAGACTAGCATTGATGAGTTAACCCTGTGTCTACCAATCTTTTATAAAACATTTCAAACAGAACATACAGGTGGTGGGGAAAGAAACCTAGTCATCCTGACCTGTTCTGTTTTCACAACAGTTTGTGAGTGAGTAAATTACTGATGCCCCTTGTCCTTCTAAACCTTCCTCCATACTCTGCTCCATGAGGGGAAAACAGATGTTGCTGATAGATATCGATACAATAGCAAATTCTGTGTGGAATTCAGTCTCAGACGGAACTTTTACTTCCTTTTCAATGTACTTATCCCTGACTGCACAAGTGAATAATTTGGAGACCTTTTTGATATCATGGTTGTTCCTCTTGATCAATTAAGTCATCACTCCCAGATGATTCAGGTGTTCAACCAAAGTTGAGAACTGATGAGCCAGTGGAAGTCCCTTCTCATTGATCAGAATCTTGGTTAAGTGCTTAACTCTTATGGTAGCCAGCCTTCATGTTGTTCCCATGATTCTTGCCTTTTATGTAGCCCCTTCTAACACTAAGTACAGCAAATGTGTACAGCTGGTCAGGACTAGATTAAGGCAAGCAAGGCAGCAAGGGTGTAAAATTTAAGTACATATTCACACTCAGGGCATGCACTTACACAATTTTGTGAGTGAGTACCAGTCCCAGGCCTGGTATAACCAATAAAATGCTGTAGAAATGACAGAGTGTGACTTCCAAGGCTAGGTCATAAATTATATTGTAGCTTCTGCCTTGATCTCTCTTTGACCACTTGTTCTGGAAGAAGCCAGTTGCCATGCTGTGAGGACATTCAGGCAGCCTTATTGATGTGTCCACCTGTCAAGGAACCGAGGCTTCTTCTTAACAACTAGCCAGCCATGTGGTTGAACCATATTGGAAGCAGCTCCTCAAGCCCCCACTCACATCTTCAGATAACTAAAACCTCAGTTGATTTTTTGACTGGGACCTCATGAAATTCAAAGCCATCCATCTAAGCCTCCTCTGAATTCCTGACCCACGCACACTATGTGAGATAATAAATACTTCTGATTCACACCATTAAGTTTGGGAAATACATTACACAGTAATAGATAGCTAATACAGCCCAATAAATGGAAAAATAAACTAAGGTTTGACTGCCTTAATTACCCTCAATTTCTTATTAGTTCTCAAGAAACAAATAGACTACTTCATAATAAAATATATGACTCTTATTTCATGTGTAGTTATTCTTGCTTAATACAACTTAATCATCAGTAATGTGTCATCATTGTGGTTTTATTTTATGTTTCAACAGAAGACATGAAAACAAGTGGAGGCATTGGGGTAAAAAGCAGCAGAGTTGAAGGATGTTTAGATTCTTTCAGTAAAGAGATAGACAGTTTTACATATATAAATACAATGTAAGTCATACGATTTTTTAATCTATCAGGTAGCAGGTGTCTCACAGTATTTTTGCACTAGCTCCTTTTTGAACCACAATCCCTTGTTTTTATAAATAAGTCCTGATCTGCATTTTCAAAATCATCTCCAACTTGATTAGAGTGAGCAGGAGCTTACCTATGAAGGAATACTGGATCAGTGGTTCCCAGGAATTTTCACAAATCTGTCAATCAGAGGGGCTCGGGATGCTTTTGAGGTAGTGCCATGACCTTGACTTTCCTCATTTGAGTACAATGACCGTTTTACCTGCAACTTAAAATTGTATGCAAGCAAGTTCATAAAGGCTGTCTCAAAACCAGCAACTCCTCTCCCTAGAAGTGCATTCAGTTATGTGCCACAGGAGGAAAAGTAGCGACTAATCCTGCACATCTTCATCACTGCCTTTATTTTCACTGAGAAAAGGCCATACATACGCCTTTTCATCACTCATTTCCAAAGCACAGCATGTTAGATTGTTGTTCAGAACTATTCACTTCCTTATCCACCTGCATCATGAGCATCTCATGACTTCGGGGTTGTCCATGCAATTTGCTTTGGACAATGGAATATCAAGGACATGGTCTACCCAAGGCTTGGACAGTGCTCATATGATTGAACTTACTCTCTTATTCTATGCCATTACCATGAGAACATTTTCAGATTAGCCCACTAGCTCCAAGAAGATAAGACTCATGGAGAAGAGAGGAACCACCTAAACCATGCTCAAGTTAGATCAACCAACCTCCAACCTACTTCAGAGGGGTATACATTTGTGAAAGAAAAGAGCCACATGCTAACCTGACAAGCTCAGGGGAGGTCTGTGTGGCAGTCTTGCGAACTTAGAGACCTAAAATAACCACAAAAGATGGTTTGAAAATTAAATATCTAACTACAAACAGGTTATAGTGGGTAGTCATGTTCTAGGCCGATATTTTCCCAAAGATCAACTTTGATCTTTTTACTGAGCCCATTTGCCTTTTTGCCTCTAAGATAACATATCTATGAGATGACTGGGTAACTTATAACTTCCCTTTTTCCGGAGCCCCGGGGGCACAACCAAATGTGGTGGGCGCCAGGACAGATGCCTCAAATTCCTTCTTTATCATGTTAATTGTAACTGCACTCACCTGAGTGCAGTCCATCATTTTATTTTTTATCCAATCCCAGGAGTTTCCCACCGCTTCGCTTTCTCCCGCCTTCTTACTCCATCACCAATGAATTTCATGTAACCCACGTAGGTCCCTCCTTTGATTTCAGTGTATAAATAGAGAAATGTAACCCACCATTCTTCGGAGCATTATCTCAATCCATTAAGGTTCTGCTTCCCAGCATATGTTGAAAGTTTGGCTCAAATAAACTCACAAAAATTCTTTACAGGTTTCAACGGTTCTTTTTTCCCGTTAACACATTAAATATTGGAATGTACCACTGAAATTGTGAGTTGTTATACAGCATTATCATAGCAGTCGTTAACCTATACACATGAGTCCAGAGGTAGGTGTAAGTTTTGCTCATATATTGAGCAAATAAAATAAGTAATAAAATAATCTAGGATGAGTATTAAAATAAGTGCTTTAGTGAAAAAAAAAAAAAGTTTCCCTTGATTCAGCATAAATTTTGTTTTACTGAAGAACATATGGTTGGCTTGATGAAATTAACTTTGCAATATAGGTCTAACATTATGAAACATTTAACCAGGATGTGCATTACATGTCATGTTGCAAATAAGGAGTTAGAGGTTCAGTGAAATGGAGTTGTCCAAGGTCACATAATTAGAAGTGACATAGTTAAAATGACCCAGCTCTCTGATTTCCAGTACATCATGTGATTAATCTCTATTAAATCATCATATTTAACTGTTTTTTATATCTCATCCTACTATAAATAAAAACTGTTTTGTGTGCACTTAAGTAAATATTGATTTTTTTTTTTTAATGCCCAGGTTGTATATTCTTAAAATGGTTGACAGAAAACAAAGAAAGTAGAAATAATTGAGCCCTGGGGGTGGCATGGCTAAGAAAGTGTGGGGGGAGGGGGGTGCTGGGGGGGGGGGGGGGAGACTATAAATTGAATAGAGACTAATCAAGGTCAGAAGCTGGGAAGAGAATTTAGAGAAACTGATCAAGGCCAGAGATAATGAAAAGGACTGTGTCTCAGAGGCTCTGAGCAGGGGAAGAGGTTCTGGAAGGCAGCCCTCTCAGCACTCTGATTTAGGAGCATGCCCATGGCTTGAACCTGAAGGTTGAATCTGCAGAAACACAAAAACGTTATTCTCTGAGGGTTAATATACATAGCTCAAGTTTTTGACAACAGCAATAAAAAAATTGAGCTATGTTTGAGTGTCCAACAGTCACAGCTGAAGTGGTGAATGACTATTATCACTATTGCAGAAAAAGACATTAACTGGCAAAAATAGGCTGATGTTCCAGCCAGAAACATGTGTTGAGTTGGTGGGAACAGGGCGTTTTATTTCTCAGATCCTGCAAATGGGGTCTTTTTTCCTGGATTCTGTGATTTCTGCCACGTCTCCATGCTGTAGCCAGGAAGACAGAACTAGAGCACAGGAAAATGTGACTGTAGGCAAGGTCAGGACTGTGAAACACTTTTGAAATTATTCAAACACTGCTTTGCACTCTGTGATGGGTCTGGACCTTGGTTGGTGCAAATTATAGAATGAGAACAACAGAATCTGAAGTTTTCCCCCAAGCAGCATCTTTGTACCTTTCTGATATATACTTTGCCTAGTCTGCTTACTCACATGCCTCATATTTGCTCAAAGGCTCTGTGAGGTTATGATTATAGGGAGAAGCACAAAAGACAATAAAGGGGAAGAGTAACAAACCCAAGATCATAAAGAAGAGAACATGGATAGGGCTGCATCCAGCAACCCTTGGTAAATGCCAGCAACATGTGCACAATTGTCCTGAGTTCTGTCAGACAACTCCCCGTTTTCTGTCTAAAGAAGTCATACCGTCATATAAAACTGATTACAGTATTATGCCACGTCACAATCACCAGAAAAATACTCAAAAGTGCTGGGAAGGCAGATTGGAGAGGATAGAACAACAGCTTCATGAACTGTGAAGACAAATTTGATGTGGGCCTGACAACCTGAGAATCATGTATGAGAGTTACCTTCTCTATTCTGCCTTTTCTCTCTTCATGACATCAATATCAATTAATGCTGAATAGGAAGAGGAATGGAGATTTGGGAATTTTATATATGGTAGAACCATATTGTACCACTAGTTTGTGATGAGTATAAATCTACTTTTATAGATAATTGGGTTGCACTGGATTTTTCTTAAACATGAAGCTGATTCAAAGGGACATGCTTTGATGCCTGCTAAATCTGAATCTCACATCATTATAAATAGCAATTGAATCCTAACTGGTTTGGCTCAGTGGATAGAGCGTTGGCCTGCAGACTGAAAAGTCCCAGGTTCGATTCTGGTCAAGGGCATGTACCTTGGTTGCAGGCACATCCCCAATAGGAGGTATGCAGGAGGCAGCTGATCGATGTTTCTCTCTCATCAATGTTTCTAACTCTCTATCCCTCTTCCTCTCTGTAAAAAAAAAAGCAATAAAACATATTTTTTTAA